CTTTCGGATTTTTCTCTTCATTTCTCCTTTGGCGCACCCACTAGTTATAGAGTATCCCCCTAGCGATCTTGTATAAGTAAATAAAGCTAACAGCGATTCCGGTTAACAAGTAACGCACAAGATCATACACCCTGGAAAGACTTATAGCTTGTCATGTGATGGGGGCATGGCTTCTCGGCGGCACACCCACTCTATATGGAGCACAGTCGCAGCAGGCCTTTAGAAGGAGCTCTGTATTTACTTATCCCTCTATGCCCTTCACCGCTCTGAAAAACAAATTTAGGGAATAATACGTCAGTTAAATCGGGAAAACAGTAACTCAGAACATAAGATGGCTCAACAGGTGTTGAGTTCCATACAGATACGCAATGCAATGTCATCATAAAAGGTTCTCTTGCTGTGCTAAATTGCCTACCAGGGTCAAGAAGATACTGGTTAAGGGTCTCCGGAACTCATGGGTGTGTGGGCGGGCGGGGAGGGCGCCAAGCCGGGTGGTGGGGGAGGGCAGGGGGTGGACCAAAGGTGAAGGACGGGGCTGGGAACCCTAAAGACAAGCCCTGCAGCTTTCAGAGTCTGGGCATCGGTCTCTGCGGTGGACCCGACAACGTGAGCGTCGAGCAGAGCCACCTTGGCTGAGACCTTCCGAACCCCTTCCCGGCGTGCGGACGCCCCCTTCCTTTCTCCTTCCCCGAGGACCCGCTGGGCGCCACCTCGAATCCTAACCGCCGAGGCCGTCCGCGAGCGACCGGGGAGGCGGAGGGACACCCGCACGCTCCCGAGGCCGCTCCCGCCAGCAGCTGGGCACACCTGTGGACTGGACAGCAGGGACCAGCCTGCAACTGGAAATCAGCCGGCAGCGCAAACTTCTCTCCCGAGGCCTCACCGAGCGAAGGGAGGCGGGGCCCGGGAGCCCGCGAAGAAGAGGACCTGCCGACCCCAGAGGGTGACTGCCCGCGAGCGGACCCGAGTGGACCCACACCCGCTCTCAGAACGCAGAGCTGGAGGCCGTGCCACCCCTTTGCCACCCCCTCCCTACACAGCCCGCACCACCCGCCGCCCGGGATCCACGCGCACCGCCGGGCCCCGCCCTTGGCCCCCTCCCGCCCATGTGGCTTCAGAGCCGGTCGGCTCCCGGGGTCCGTCCGGCCAGCGGCATCCTGGCCCACGAGAAAGGCGCAGCCCCCCCCGCGCCTCGGGGCACCGGACTCACCCTCGTTACTGACAGCCCCGGCTCCGCCGCGACCGCCGTCACCGTCTTCCCCGCCTCCGAGCGCAGCCCCCGGGGCTCTGGGAGCCGCCATTACGCCGCCGACCGGGAAAGGGAGGGCCGAGGGGCGGGGCGGGACGGACGGGAACCAATGCCAGAGCGACTAGAAGCGCACTCCCCGTCAACGTGACGTTTCCTCCACGCCCACGTCG